CTATGATAAATCAGATAACTTAGATACATAGCAGACGTAACATTACAATTTGTATCTGCACAATAGGATGCTAAGTTATGCGCTAGACAGAGAAAGAAAGAGAGAGAGAGAGAGAGCTCCCGCCGTGATGCGTTTTCATGACAGCGCGCTGAAAGATGGGCAAGGACAGAATTTACTCTAGATTTCTATAAAGTTCTCATTAGAAATGTATGGCAGATTTGTGCTATATTTTCATCTATGTTATTAAGTGTAATAGTTGTAATTAAGTTTTATTTTTAAGTTATTAAGTTATAAGTTTATTAAGTTTTATTATCCATAAATCGCCTGTGCGTTTTCGATGCCACTAAGCCATAAGAATTGAATTATGCCCACAAATATGACGAAAAAAGCACGGCTGCATTATTATAACATCAGTAATAATAATAAAAATCTAAAAGCAATATAATCATTATCGGGCATTGCATTTGAGCATGAAACTAATCACAGATATACAGCGCTTTCAGCATGTAATAAATGTTCATGTTAATTAATCAGACGTAGGCTAGCTATTACAACTTTCATCTGAAAAAAATTTGCCAATGCAGATGTGAGCTTGACCGAAAGTGTAACTCGGATTGCGCTTTAAAAACACGAAAGTACAATAAATTCACATTCTTAGACTACATTAGTGTCACTATTGTCTTTGACAGTCTGTCCTTCAGTGAAGAAGCAGTCTTTTCATATAGAGCATCTATTCTTGCCGTGACTGTTTTGCGTGATGGAATGTCATACTCGGGCTCAACGTAATGCATGAAATCTTTAAATCCTTCTCCGTCGACGAAACTAATGGGTAGCAAATCTTTCACCACCATTTCAGCGATTAGCTGTGTCATCTTCTCGGTTCTGCCTGCGTTGCATTTTGGTCTAACGGCAAATGATGCAATGCTCGTCTGAGTTGCCGCTCTGTTATCGCCAGACATTTTATGTACAAATGTTAGATGATAGCGCGCATTGTACTTGTTGTAGATTTGTGTGACAGCATGGCGCTGCACAGCTTGCACTGAACTGTATTTTCATCGGTCTTCTCAAAGTGAAGCCAGACATCACTACGTGACTTTGAGGCCATGATTCTCTCTCTTCTCACGTCTTTTGATGCATCCTGTGGCAAGCTAACCAATCAGAGCTCAGGGCACCGCCCAAAGTGCTGCTATAACCAATCAGGGAAAAAGAAAAAATATATTTTCGATCATCGTTTACATGATCGATCATCGCTGTCACGGTCGAGTACTCGAGTACTCGATCACTGTTGCACATCCCTACTTCAGTGTCACATGATCCTTCAGAAATCATTCTAATATGCTGATTTATTATTAGAATTATCAATGTTGGCAAGAGTTGTGCTGCCAAATTTTTTTTTTTTTTTTAGAAACTGCTATACTTTTTTACGACGGCGTTTTAGTGCCACGTAAAAAAAAAATAAAAATCTAAGATTACGAGATTAAAGTCATAATATTACGAGAATAGAGTCGTAATATTACGAGAATAAAGTCGAAATGTTTTGAGAATGAAGTAAATAAATAAATGTAAGTAATAAATGACTTTATTCTAGTAGTATTTCAACTTTATTCTCGAAATATTATGACTTTAATCTCGTAGTATTTTGACTTTATTCTCGAAATATTACGACTTTAATCTCATAGTATTTCGACTTTATTCTCGTAATATGTCGACTTTATTCTTGTAGTATTTCGACTTTATTCTCGAAATATGTCGACTTTATTCTTGTAGTATTTCGACTTTATTCTCGAAATATGTCGACTTTATTCTTGTAGTATTTCGACTTTATTCTCGTAATATGTCGACTTTATTCTTGTAGTATTTCGACTTTATTCTCGAAATATGTCGACTTTATTCTCGTAGTATTTCGACTTTATTCTCGAAATATTACGATTTCAATCTCGTAATCGTAGATTTAAACATTTTTTTTTACAAGACACTAAAACGCCGTCGTACTTTTTCAGGATTCTTTGATGGATAAAAGGTAAAAAAGAAGAGCATTTATTCAAAATATAAATCTTTTCTAACAATACAAATCTTTGCTATCATTTTCACAATTTAACATGTCCTTGCTGAATAAAAGTTTTAATTTCTTTCAAAAAAAGAAAGAATAAAAATTCACTGACCCCAAACTTTTGAACTGTAGTGTATATTGTTAGAAAAGATTTATATTTTAAATAAATGCTCTTCTTTTTAACTTTTTATTCATCAAAGAATCCTGAAAAAATTTATCACAGGTTCCAAAAAAATATTAAGCAGCACAACAGTTTCCAGCACTGATAATAAATCAGCATATTAGAGTTATTTCTGAAGGATCATGTGACACTGAAGACTGGAGTAATGATGCTGAAAATTCAGCTTTACATCACAGGAATAAATTATATTTTAAAGTATATTAAAATATAAACCATTATTTTATATTGTAATAACATTTTGCAGGATTACAGTTTTTTTCTGTATTTTTGATCAAATAAATGCAGCCTTGATGAGCATAAGAGACTTCTTTAAAAAACATTACAAGTCTTACTGATCCCAAACTTTTGCACGGCAGTGTATATATATATATATATATATATATATATATTACCAAGAGAGGCCAGCATGTCGTGTAGATCCTCTTTATCGATGAATCCGTCTCTGTTCTGATCGCTCATGTT